CTGACCAAATACACCTGAAACACAAATCAGAAAATGTGTCAAAAAGTGTATGAATGTTTGAAAATGTACAATTTCCAGATCATAATTTTCTGCCAAATGCATATTAAGTCACAGTTTTGTAGCACAATAAAGACTAACACACGATTGACTGAATGAGTCCTACCTTTCAGATACAGCAGAAATAACACCATGAGAGAATATTTGGGGTTCATGGCAGATTCACTCAGTATTATGAATTAATACGGTTTGGTGTTTGCTTGTAAAATGTCTGGAATGATTCCTTGACGTGGAAGCGAACGTTTCCTCAAGAAGACTGAAGACTGGTTATAAATAATATGAGGAACTGACAGGAAAACCCACATAAACACAAATGAGGAAAGTCTGACGTTTGTAGCTTCTGTTATGATGAGTCTTTTTCTCCACACAAACCTTAAAATGTCTATTAATATCAAAGTCAAAATAACAATTTCCGCATTCTCATAAAATAAAAATGAGTAATAAACTTCATTTGTAGCATGTGAGAGAAACAAATGACAAGTGAAGTAGCATCAATCAGTCAACGGAGTCTGTGAATTTATGGGTTTATTCTCGCAAAAAAACTGATCATTTTGTTCCGAGATGATTTGGTTACTTCTTATATTTTAAGAGATCTGCAAAATATATTTATTTACATAAGATCTGAATAAGAACATATATGCAGATATAAAATTCTTACGATTTTTAACACAAACGTAAAGGTATTGATTGAATAATTGATGCATCAAAACACCATGAAAGAAATGTTCCTCATCTTCAGACACAACAGATCAGAAATCAGATTCATTTAGGCCTACATATCGGAAAATAAAATATATTATTACTAAAGAAATAAAAGATAATGAAAGGTCCATTTTAAATGGCAAGAACAGGGTCAAATAAAAATGAATAAACATACTAAAAGTGAAAAATCCGAAAGCTTTCTGACCCCTTCATAGACAGAAAGGGTCCAGAAAGGTACATTGACAAAATAGTCCACGTGACATCAGTGAAGCTACGAGAATACTTTTTTGTGTGCAAAAAAACTAAAATAAAGACTTTATTCAACAGTTCTCCTCCTCTGCGTCACCCTGGCACCATTTTGGAGAGCATCACGGTGCATGTGCATGCTTTGCTCTGAACGTAAACAAGGCGCAGCGCATGCGTGTACTACGTCAGCATCAACAGAAAGAAGAGTCATTTACAAAATGAGATCAGATAAACATGTAAAAAATCTGACCAAAATTCCTGTGTGTGGGTACACTGGCAAAACAAGTGACCTTTTAACCACTTAAGCAGCTTTAGAGTTTTAAACAGGACAATAGTGTCAATAATGCAAACAAAAATCAACTCTGCTCTAAAGCAGCTCTAAAAAGAGGACAATAGTAAAGAGTTAATATTTTAGTTAAAGGCTGTTCATCCTTGATTCAGTGACGTCATCGTCCAGGGCTGCATTTCCCAAAAGCATCGCAAGCCTCTTCTTCTGCTGTTAAACATGATTCTTTTCAAAAATAAGTTGAAATAATGCAAGCAAATAATGCAACAAAAGCATATCTCATCGATTAACAACCAAGTAGCTTTAAATTTGTTTTATTTTGTACTGTTGGACTATTGTTTAATATGTTCCTGATGTTTTCCCAGCATCCTCGGTGTGCTGGCTAGTATGACGGTGCAGTCCAATGGTCTGTCCCAGGCTGAAATACTGCAGCTCATACAGGGCAGTCCACAGCAGGAGCAGATGGCGATCGAGCAGCGGGAGCGATACGGAGGACGATGTTGTGCCGACAGCATCACCGACCAAAATCAAGCACTTGGGTTAAAAATGTTGGATTGAATGTACAGTCAAACCAAGTTAAACTGTGTCAGAACAAATTCATCTTTATAATGTCAAATAACTGATAGAAAGGTATGTAATGAATTAGGTTGAATAGCTGCCAGCTGTTAAATTTAAGTACACAATTAGATAATACCAATTTCGGTCAATCAATTACCAAGCAATGCTTCATTTTGTTCAGCCTGCGGTGTAAAAAGATTGCATTAGCAATTAAAGAAAAAACACTTAAGCAAAACATGGTCAGGTCAAAGTGTCGGAATCATTTTTGGTCCCAAATTTGTATAAATTTTACTGTTAGTCCACTGTATGAAGAATGTTTGGGTATAATATGTCACAAGCTGTATCGCATCAGAAACGAGTGACGGAAACGGCAAATTTCGAATAAAAATCCCTTAATTCGCAAAAAAGTTTTTACGCTCGCTTGAGGTGGTTTTTGACTTGTGCGAAAAAGGGTTAATGCGAATAAAAAGAGATGGAAATGCATTTGCCGAGTAAATTCCTCCATGCGCATCAAAAAAGTCATGCGACTGCACTATGGGACGGCAAAACGTAACCAGTGGACCAGTCTCGTTCCTCAGCATCTGAAATGTTATGGTCATTTTGAAATGTGCGAGCAAAGACGGTCATCAACGTATTTCTGTATAATTGCCTCCCAGAACTGTTCCCAAACAGCAGCATCCACCTCCGAAAGCAATGACCGCATTTATTTTTTGTCTGCTCGCTCTGAGGTGCAAGTAATTTATCATATAGGCCAATGAAAATGATTATATTCAGGGGTTTCTCCTACTTTTCATAGTGATATACAGCTAGGGCTGCACGATTAATCGAATGCGATTGTTATGCGCATTTTGTTAGTAAAGCCGGTTCTGTAATCAGCAGGAAATCATCATCACGTGCTTTCAGATGGAGCAGCATTTACTACACAGAGCCGTAGTTCACTGACAAGCTACGCAAAAAAAAATCGCAGACGATTTTATTGAGCGATTCTGAAATCGAAGAAATCATTGGCGATAATGACAGCTGTTTGCATAGCTTCTCAGTGAACTACGGCTCTGTGAAGTAAATGCTGCTCCATCTGAAAGCACGTGAAAATACCACATTTAATAACATGTTTTTACTCCAAACTCACTTCATAACGTCAATAATAGTGTTTGAAATAAATCCTTCTGTGAGATGAGCCAGTGGCATTTGAAACTTGTGCATGTTTGGGTCAGGACACATATGCATAATGTATGTATGCATATATATATATATATAGCCTATAATTTGACAATATGTATAAAAACATTGAAACATTACATTGATCCTTACTCATCAATAAATGTTATTTTTATTTATATAGAAAATGTTTGCATTACATGCTCTTTGTGTAATATTTTAACTGAAATACATTTGCCTTGTGAGACATAGGTTTCAATTAATCTTCAGAAATATTTGTTTTTCGATTCTGAACATGTTATGCTAATGTGCTATCTACCTATCTATCTCTCTCTCTCCTTACATACATCTAAAAATATGTTTGGTGCAAAGAGAACTATGAAAAAATGTTGTGAAAATGTTTTATATTTTTCATTTATTTTTAAAAACACAAAAAGTTTGCATAGAATAACTCTGGAATTCCTACATTATTATCATTGTTATTTAGATTTATTTATTTGGAGCCTATCGTCCAGCTTGCTTGCATCTTGAATGTCACAGCATCCTCAGGCTTGTGCATGTGTAAGTGACGCCCATCACAAGCGTCTTTACAGTGGGGTGTTAAATGCTGAATAGACGGTTTCTCACATTCAAAGTCAAGGTGACTGATTTCCTCCGGACACATTTTACTGCTCTCATAAACTCTTATGGCCCTGCTGCCGTCCTTTGTCAAAACTCCGGAGGTCATCAAACTCCGAAACAAGAGTGTAATGCAAAATTCCAGCGTTTTCTCGTTGACACTTTTTAGCACTGAAACACAAAACGCAACAGGAATGGAATCAGAGTTCGGAACAAATTCAGAGGAGGTTTATTTGGTCTATAATCACCAGGCAGAGAAATCAATAAAGTGGTTGGATTACAAAAATATCATAATTTCAATTGTGTGTCCATTTTATAATAAAAGTGACACATTTGGTGAGCTTTGGTGAGTCCATTCACCTTCCTCAGCTGTGTTAAGCTGCATTATAATGCATTCAAAACACACAAAATATTGCATATGTCTGTTGCCCATTCTTTGGGGAAAGGCCGATAAAATAAGAGTATTTAGCAAAAAAGATTTACATGTATGTGTGACATAGTGAAAAAAGAAATTCATGAAACAGAAGCAGAATTCATTTCTAAATAGTTTGCTGCAAATTGTCAGATTTAATTCTATGCAACAATTTACTTAAAAATTGATTCTATTC